CTGTATGGTGAGTTCAAGCCGTAGGCAAACTCTAGCTGTATGGCGAGTTCAAGCCGTAAGCGAACACAATCTGTATGGTGAAATTGAATCGTAGGTGAGCTTCAAATCGGGTGGGCCACGTGCCCGTTCACGGCTCTATGTGCTCGCCAGCTAAGACGACACGGGCATGTCGCTTTGCATTAAAAGTGGCAATGGAGTCTCCTCATCTTCCACACCTGATCTGACCCATTTGCTACAGATCATGTCCAAAAACTGCCAAATCTCGATCGTTAGTGCGGGATTCCGAATCGCCTCGCCCCCTTGTGACTATTCAATCTGAACTGTTGAATCGAACATTGGGAGAGCGTTTGGGTCATTCGTTATATAGAACCCTTCTTCCTTATTGGAGAGGCCATGGTGTTCATCATTTCCCTCTGAGAATTTCTCTAAAAAAACCAAGCTCTTTCTTACCGTAACTAGGTTGGCACTGCGAGCAAAGGTACTCGTCTCGAAGAAAAGAGAGAGGAACGCTTTTCCCTTCGCTATTGCTGAAGCCCCGCTGCGGGCGGGGCCGCGGATGCTGCTAGAGGTATTTCTATTTCTAAACCTCTTGGCAAATTAAAAAACACGTGAACGCAATGAGTTCATGATTTTGATCTTTTTGTCATGTTGAGCATCTTAAGAGGGGGTATAGAACATAGAGGGGTTGGGGCCTGATCCCAAATCCATGACCGTACCCGCTTCACGGTCTTCTCCTCAGCTAGGAGTAGAGTCTCATCCCGAAATCCCCTCCATCGCCGCACTTGTTCGTAGCCAGGAGCGTAATTCCTCCGACTCCGTTAATCTGTAGGTCCATGTTAAAGAATTAGAGAACGTCGTAAAGTAGGTGATCTCCATCGTCGACCATGGATAGAGTACCTATGCAGATCTAAAGCAGTCTCTCTCAGACCGTGTGGCCAACATCCGGCACTTGGTCGATCCAAAACTTGCCATACGCTATTTGATGAAGCTTTTCGATCTGGTACTACTCTTAACAAGGTTAGAGAACTTGCGGTAGCCGGATCTAGAGCCTGATGTGGCGCAATTCTTGGCTCTGGCCTGGCGTCGTGGGACGTGGCAGCGAGAATGCCGAAGGAGGGACATAGAAGACAAGGAGTCCCTCATTGCTCACTTGGACAGCCGATAACATTTGTTGCAAGCTGAGATGGAGGCTACCATATGTATCTCGGTCATATAGTTGTGAATCTCTAATCATTAATCCTAACTAAGAAGTAAAGAAAGCAGAATTAAGACATCAACACATCATATTTATAATATCTTCCACTATCACTAGGGAGATAAAATGAAATACAAACATATAATTTTGTATACTCTTTCCAAAACAACGTATCTCGGTCATATAGTTCAGTGATATGTCATATTCATAACCGACATCAGCCACACTTAGGCTATCAGGTAATTGTCTTAATGCAATGGACTACCATGTAGGTATCATGAACTGTGTATACGTCTCATTAGTCTTATCGCAATCTCAGTGCGTAACATGAGTACGGGACGGACTACCAAGTAGGCATTCTAGAAATACGGCTCACGAGCCTCATCGCACCCTAG